TAACTAACATCAGCTGTGTGTGATCCTGTACAGACTGAACTATCTGGTCAGCAGTGAGAAAGTTTCTCTCTCCCTCCTACAGAGGACACAGAGACACTGAGGAACCAGAGCTGAACCAGAACCCGAACCCAGGATAAAGAGGTTCAGTGAATGTGGTGTTGAAGGTGTGGAGGTGGATCAGTGTGTCAGAGGAGACTGTGTAGAAGGACAGAGTGCCAGCAGGACAGTCCACATACACTGCTACTCTACCAGAGGAGGAGGAGGGAGGAGGAGGAGGAGGAGGAGGAGGAGGAGGAGGAGATGGGTGTTCTTCTCTTATTGTGACAGACAGAGTAACCATCATCAGAGCAGTACAGACTCCAGGACTGATCATTCCCTCCAAACAAACAGTCTGTACTGTTTCCTCTCCTGCTGATTCCTCTGTAACTCACTGATATATAAACTCTTCCTCTCCACTCGACCTCCCAGTAACAGCGACCAGTCAGACCATTTCTACACAGCAGCTGAGACCAGTAGTTAAATCTGTCTGGATGATCAGGATATGACTGATCCTCCTCCACATGAATCATCTTCCTGTTGTTGTCAGACAGTTTGATGTTTCTGTTCACTGTGTTTGTGTCGACTGTGAGTTCACAGGAATCTGATGGAGAGAACAAGACACAATACAGCTGCAGTTATTGATCTATCATCTGATCATTGATTGACACTTTGATGATGACATCAGAGCTGTGAATGAGTGATGTCACAGTGTGAAGATGGTTGAATGTGTGCTGCTTTGTTTTCACACTTACACTTCCTCAGACCTGGTCTCAACCATCGGACTCCAGCAGGCTCCACCCTGAAAGGAGGAGGGGGGGTCAGAGCAGCATGGAAACATGGACATTACATCGCTCTCATACACAGAGCTTATTCTCTACAAATGGACTTACATCTTCACATGGAGCACTTATTATTAATCAGCTGATAGTCTTTCAGTTCAGTGGAGCTTCTTCTTATTGGCCGATGGCTACAGCTCATTATTTTCACTTATTGATGATCTATTATTATTATCAGTATTATATTTGTAACAGAATGTTTACATTGATTACCTTTAAACAGTTTAACATGGGAGGTGAATTGGTAAGAGCCGACTAAATATAATATTTCTCTGCATTTACTTCCACTAGAAGCTAATGCTAGTTAGCATGAAGGATTTATTAAGTTGAAATAGTTGCCAAGTTTCCCTTTAAACAGTTTCTCAATAAAAGACGGCACGCAGAGTCTTCAGTTGGGTTTTTGATGTTTTACTTAAGAAGATCTGTGAAACTGTAATATAAAAAATAAAAAGTATGTCAGACTCTGTTCTGTCTGTTTCTTATACATTCATAAATACAACACGCATAAATTTACACCAAAGTTATAATTTAGCTCAATGCTAACATAATATGGAAAATCCCATTGATGGGCTAGCGCATTAGCATCGGTCTTGCTATTCACTTTACACATAAATGATAGTAAACCATAACAGGTAAGTCACACATGAACTTCACACACTAACGATATATTACAGACTCATGTCCCTTTAAGGTACAGCAGAAAGAAAAATGAAGTGTGAGTGGAGATAACGAACTACCGTAAGCTAGCAGGAACAAACAGTGCAGCAGCTAATGACAAGTAGAACACAAATCACATCATCTTCATTTAACATGTTATGACCAGGACAAACATTACCTTTAACTAAGTTAGCCGATATTTACTAAAAATGTAATATCGGGAATTATCGGTATCGGGTTTTTATAACCGATGTTTGTTCTGTAGGCTTCAGCATTTCCGAGCCTGCATGAACGCAGCATGGGACGTTTACCGGCGCGCGCTAGATGACGTATAACAACAACAACCACTAGACTGGTTGGTTGCTAACTGTGGCTAACAGGCAAACAATTTAAAGCTGAATGATTTTAATATTAACACAAAATAAAAGTGCAATGCACCTTAAATATTTGACCCTGCTCTGAGCTGTTCCTTAACCAAACTAACAATTGGCTTAGAGTTTACATTAGCACTCCTTCAGGAGCATAATACAATTAAACACATTAACCAAAGCTAGCGCTTAATTTTAATATTCAAACGAGCCATGTGTTGATTCCACACCCACCAGGCTGTCAATCAAACTCTCAGTGACAGAGAAGTAATGTGAGTTAACGTCGGTTGTTGGACTGAAATTCAGAAAATGCTCATACTCATATGTAGATAGGCAAAGTCTATACATCTGAAACAGAAGGTGCTGTATTTTTTTACCCTTTATCTATCCAGATAAAAACATTAAGAACAGTTTCTGTATGATGTTTATTAGACCTATGTAATCTGAATTGGAAGGGCACGTTGTCATGAGCTGTATCTTGTATATTTATTATTAGCTATGTGGTATGTGTATGCACCTTTATGTAATCTGGTGGAAAAACATTAACATTTAAAACCGGATCATACCAAACAAATATCTGCTTGCGTGTCCCCGTGTATGCAAAGTGTCCTCCTTTTTGATGTGAAGGAAATGGCCACCCTACCAGTGGGCCATCACAATAAAATGAGGCATAATGTGTTAATTCCACAATAGGAGATATGTTATGTTGTTATCTAACAGTTTTGGTGTAAAAAGCCTGCATATATCGGTATCGGGTGATATCGGTATCGGAAATTGAGAGTTGGACAATATTGGAATATCGGATATCGGCAGAAAAGCCAATATCGAGCATCCCTACCTTTAACCTATCCACTGGTAAAAAGTGCTCTTATATCTCTTAATAGAAGATAGGAATAAATCATCTTTCTTATCATCGACCTTAGCTAGGGTGGCAGTATGGGTGCTAACTGCTACTGACGTTGGGCTCCCTAGCAAATCATAGGTCAGTCTGGTGGGGACCCTTTTTAGTCTCTGAGGTCGTGTTGTCTCGTCTAAACTCTCTGTAACACTGTCTTGTCTCTCAGAGGTTTCATCTGTTGTCTGTGTCTCAGTGTCTCTCTCACTTTCAGCAGTCTTATGTTGTACTGAGGGTTCATCCTCAGTGGCTGCTGCAGGTGCTTCAGTGATGTCCTCTTGCACTTTTGAGTCATCTTCAAGGACAGCTAAATTCAGATCCAGACTGAAAGGTTCAGGATCATTTTCTTGACATGCTGGTTCTCTGGACTCTTGTGGTGGATGATAATCATACCACACCCCCATTTCATCCTCTTCCGAGTCATATTCTGACCCCATCTTGTCACCAGGGTCAGGGGCCAGTGGTACAGTGTAGTTCTGGATTTCTTGATGCCAAGCATGCTCAACAGTTCATGAATGAGCCGACTCTCGAAATCCCTGCCTTGATCTGAATGCACTCTTTTTGGTAGACCATAGTGGACAAAGTACTGTTCCCACAGAACCTTAGCAACTGTTGATGCTTTTTGATCCTTAGTTGCAAAAGCTTGAGCATATCGGGTGTAGTGATCTGTAACTACAAGCACATTGCAGATGTTTCTGGAGTCAGGCTCGATTGACAGAGAATCCATACAGACTAGATCCTTTGGTCCCTCACTGTTAAGATGTGACAACTCAGCAGCTTTCTTAGGCAGAGTTTTCCTCTGAATACACCAGGGGTGTCTTCTTCATCCTCTCAGCAGAGTTCAGACTCATAAAAACCGTCAGCGTTTGAATTAAAGAAATAAAGTAACTTTAACAACACTTAAGAAACTCATGAACAGCACAGCGTCTCTCTCTCTCTCTCTCTCTCTCTCTCTTACGTCTCCGTTTCTCTTTTTAATCCTCTCAGAATCCGGTAGGTTACCTCATACTCATCTCTAGTAGACCCTGATTGGACAATGACAGGTTGACACCTGAATACTCAAATAAACAACAAAACATACGGCAGGAGGTGTTCAAGGACTGCTCAGAACACAGGAAAATTCCATATCTTCTAAATAACATACCAAATATACATTTCCCTGCAGTAAACACAACTGATCTCACATCAGTAGTAATTTAGAATAGAATTTAAAATCCTCCTCCTCACCTACAAAGCTCTTCATGGTCAGGCCCTTTCATATCTTAAAGAGCTCATAGTACCCTATTACCCCTCTAGAACACTACGTTCTCTGAATGCTGGGCTACTTGTGGTTCATATAGTCTCTAAAAGTAGAACAGGAGCCAGAGCCTTCAGTTACCAAGCTCCTCTCCTGTGGAACCAGCTTCCAGTTGTGGTTCTGGAGGCAGACACCCTCTCCACATTTAAGAGTAGGCTTAAGACGTTCCTCTTTGATAAAGCTTATAGTTAGGGCTGGATCAGGTGAGTCCTGAACCATCCCTTAGTTATGCTGCTATAGGCCTAGACTATCGGGGGATTTCCCATGATGCACTGAGCTCCTCTCTTTCTCTCTCTTTCTGCACTCATTCATGTCCCATTAATGCATGTTACTAACTTCACTTCTTGATAATAATAATAATGATGATTACTGATATTATTATAATCATTATGATAGTTACTATTGTTATTGTCCATCGTTTTTGTAGTTGTCATCATCTTCTTCATGTTCATCATCATCAGTCACTTCTAGTCTGTCTCTCTCTCTTTCTCTGTCTGTCTCTGTCTGTCTGTCTGTCTGTCTGTCTCTCTCTCTGTCAGGGCGGAAAAGGAAGTTTTTCCTTGCCGCTGTCTCAAAGGTCTTGCTCATGGTGGGAACTGTTGGGTCTCTGTAAATAATGTTATAAGGAGTTCGGTCTAGACCTGCTCTATTTGAAAACTGAACAAAACTATTAGGCCATAAAAAGTTTCACACAAAACAGGTTAACCTTCGTGGTAGCTACCTCAATAAATCGAACCCCAACACCCCATCATTCAAGTCCAGGGCGAGTTGCTTTAACTTAAGCATTTACTGAGTGTTTGGGTGCTACAAACACATTACATAATAAACATGTTCAAGGAAAGAGACTCAAACTAAATAAACAAAACAATGTTAGGAAGATTACAATTGTACACATCAACATAATTCAGGTTTAAAGTGGTTATCAGTTGAACAGGTTGACAAATCCTGACCTGAGAGTTTCCAGTTTACAGTGTGGACTCTTCAGTCCAACAGAAAGCAGCTTCAGTCCTGAATCCTGCAGGTTGTTGTCACTCAGGTCCAGCTCTCTCAGACCAGAGGACTGGGAGCTGAGAACTGAGGACAGAGAAGCACAACCTTCCTCTGTGATCAGACAGCCTGACAGCCTGCAAACACACAGAACAACATGTAGTCCGGTGTAAAAGTACAGGGATTAAAACAAGTTAATTTGTAATACAAATAATTGTTTCAGTGAATTAATTAAATAATTCAGTAATGCATATAAACTGAAAGCAATTTAGGTTAAAAGCAGTGAAAGATGAAATGTTAACCGATAGATTAACATAAATTCATAATAAATAAAGTAGAGTGTAAATAGTTCATTAAGTAGTTACATTAAACTGTTCTGTATAGTAGCTGAAGAAAAGTGTGTGGTAAACTAAACATGAATTTTCAGATTTGTGTCATTGGTTCATGCTGTTTCATTTGATTGGTTGCTGTAGTTATCACTCAATGTCACCTGTTGGTAATTGGCCGTAGGTAAGGGAGTGAACAGAAAAGGGGCGGGAGAATCGAGCCAAGAGGACGCCATTGCTGAACGGGAAGGACTGTTTCGCTCTTCCTGTGGAGGACTTTACTTCTGCTGCCGTTGGCTTTCATCTTCATCTCTTCATTAACTGTTTCTCCAGGACTTATTCCAGACCGTGAGTTGGATTTTCTTTGTGACTGTTAATTGTCACTGAGGATAAGGATTTGCCTGTGTGTGTGTGTGTGTGTGTGTGTGTGTGTGTGTGTGTGTGTGTGTGTGTGTGTGGGCCCACTGTTTTGTTAGAGTTCAGTTAAGTAGCTTATTTGATCTGAGTTTGATAAGTATAGAGAAATCGTATTAAGGGGTAAGAACTAGGAATTTCACAGGAGACCTGGAATTATTTAAATTTTGAATAGTATTTTGATATTGCCAATTCTATTTTGCTTATTATGAGTGTCTATTTTTCTACAGTGTTTTGCCAATTTTGGTAGAGGTCATTTTGTTTACAACTATAATATTTTTATTTTAAAGAAGTCTAATTTGAGTAATTGTGTTATTTCATTTTTAATATCTGTTAACTAACAAAGTAAATATTATTTGTGTTAAACTGGAAAACAACTGGTTAGTGAACTATTATTTCATTTATTTGAAAGAGTTGTCTGGGGTCAGTTATTTAAAATAGTGTAGAGTACATGTGAATAGAGCCACTGCTTCGTCTAACAAAGTTGTTGGTTATTCAGTCCTTCCAGAAGAATGCAGAGTTTTTTTGTGATTATTGCGGGCAAAAATCCTTCATTATGCGGCACGTTTTCTTAAAAAATGCGATGGAATATGATATTTATGCAATTTTATGCGATGAAATTGCGGGAACTTGAAAAAACTGCGGTTCGATGAAAAAGAGAAAAAAAGGTGATTCCCCCAACACCCTGTTCTCACTAGACTACTACCTTAATGTAAAGAGTCATTTCTTATTACTTTCTATGATAAGCAAGCATACTACATCACAGAAAGTGCTGGGAATATTTAAGTTCTCATCTTGTTTTATTTCAGACCTTAATAAACACATGGCTCAAACTTACAAAACATTGATGAGTCAAACAAGTTCTGGAGCTTTACAAAAGGAATATGCTACAACTTCTGTAAAAATTAATAAATAAAATATAACAAAATAAAATGTGTGCTTCCTGTTTTACAGAGGTAGCTATACAATATACCTATCTTCTGTTAAAATAAGTGCTTCCAATGCAAGTGCAATCTCTTACTGTAACGTAAATGTACATACTACTAATATACTTACAACTGTAAGGTTTTTGAAACTAGTTTGATTTAACCAACTGGTAACAAAAAAGTGCAATCTTACAACTGTATTTTTGTTGGCAAATGAGACTGATTTGCAGGCTTCATCATGGCTTCATCGCGGGGTTTGCAGCTTTTCGATGATGTTCATGTCGCGTAATTATGTCACTTCATAACGTTCCCATGGCAACAGGGGAAAATGGCTGCTCTTGCGTGAAGTAAATGCAACATTTTTCAACTGTCTGCTTAGATATATGTGACTTTTTTGCAACGAAAATGCAGGGATTAGGAAATCATGCAAGCCCCGCATATTTTGCGCGGAAATCTGCAATTTATGCGGCGAAAGTGCGGCGTATTTGAAGAAATGCGGCCCCCGCATAAATATGCGGACGTTTGGCTGATTATGCATTGAATTATGTGATCGCATAATCGAGTTTTTCTGGAGGGACTGGTTGTTCATAAAGTTTTAGGCCATAAAAAGTTTCACACAAAGCAGGTAAACCTTCGTGGTAGCTACCTTAATAAATCGAACCCAAACACCCCATCATTCAAGTCCAAGGTGAGTTGCTTTAACTTAAGCATTTACTGAGTGTTGGGGTGCTACAAACACATTACATAATAAACATGTTCAAGGAAAGAGACTCAAACTAAATAAACCAAACAATGATTTGAGACAATGTTAGGAAGATTACAATTGTATCCATCAACATAATTCAGGTTCAAAGTGGTTATCAGTTGAACAGGTTGACGAATCCTGACCTGAGAGTTTCGAGTTTACAGTGTGGACTCTTCAGTCCAACAGAAAGCAGCTTCAGTCCTGAATCCTGCAGGTTGTTGTTACTCAGGTCCAGCTCTCTCAGACTAGAGGACTGGGAGCTGAGAACTGAGGACAGAGCTTCACAGCTTCTCTCTGAGAGGTTACAGCCACTCAGTCTGTAGAGGCAATGATCAACAATAAGAAAAATACCATTTGTGACCAGCACTTTATCACTCAGCCAAAACCAAAAACACTTTAAATTAGTTCTGTAAAAATGATATCAGCTAGTGAGGAGTTCCCAATGTTGGTGATATATAATGTCTTTATAATCTCTCTAAGTCAAAAAGATAACAGAGTATAAGTGATAATACAGAAATCCAACTATTTCTGTACTTACAGAGCTTTGTTGGAGGCTTTGACCACTGGCAGCAGCCTCAGAAGAGCCTTCTCTGAAGCAGAGTATTTCTTCAGGTCAAACACGTCCAGATCTTTTTCTGATGACAGTAAGATGAAGACCAGAGCTGACCACTGAGCAGGAGACAGTTTATTTTTGGAGAGTCGTCCTGAACTCAGGGACTGTTGGATCTGATCCACTAGAGAACGATCATTCAGTTCATTCAGACAGTGGAACAGATTGATGCTTCTCTCTGCAGAGAGATTCTCACTGATCATCTTCGTGATGTACTGGACTGTTTGCTGATTGGTCTGTGAGCTACTTCCTGTCTGTGTCAGCAGACCTCGTAGGAGATTCTGATTGGTCAGCAGTGAAAGACCCAAGAGGAAGCGGAGGAACAAGTCCAGATGTCCTTGTTGACTCTCTAAGGCCTTGTCCACAGCAGTCTGGTGGAGATGTTTTAGATTCTCTTTGTCTTTAATTAATTTAAACCACCAGGGTGTTGTTTGTTGTTCTGCCAGCAGATTGACTCCAGAGTTGATGAATGTCAGATGGACATGAAGAGCAGCCAGAAACTCCTGCACACTCAGATGGACGAAGCAGAAGACCTTGTCCTGGTACAGTCCTTTCTCCTCTTTAAAGATCTGTGTGAACACTCCTGAGTACACTGAGGCTGCTCTGATATCGATGCCACACTCTGTCAGGTCTGATTCATAGAAGATCAGGTTGCCTTTCTGCAGCTGCTCAAAAGCCAGTTTTCCCAGAGACTCAATCATCTTCCTGCTCTCTGGACTCCAGTGTGGATCTGTCTCAGCTCCTCCGTCATACTTGATGGTCTTCAATTTAGACTGAACCACCAAGAAGTGGATGAACATCTCAGTCAGGGTCTTGGGCAGCTCTCCTCCCTCTCTGGTCTTCAACACATCCTCCAGAACTGTAGCAGTGATCCAGCAGAAGACTGGGATGTGGCACATGATGTGGACGCTTCGTGATGTTTTGATGTGGGAGATGATTCTACTGGCCTGCTCCTGATCTCTGAACCTCTTCCTGAAGTAGTCCTCCTTCTGTGGGTCAGTGAACCCTCTGACCTCTGTCACAATGTCAACACACCCAGGAGGGATCTGATTGGCTGCTGCAGGTCGTGTGGTTATCCAGAGGCGAGCAGAGGGAAGCAGTTTCCCCCTGATGAGGTTTGTCAGCAGCACATCCACTGAGGTGGACTCTGTAACATCAGTCAGGATCTCAGTGTTGTGGAAGTCCAGAGGAAGTCGACACTCATCCAGACCGTCAAAGATGAACACAACCTGGAACTCTTCAAACCTGCAGATTCCTGCTTCTTTGGTTTCAGTAAAGAAGTGATGAACAAGTTCCACCAAGCTGTACTTTTTCTCTTTCAGCACATTCAGCTCTCTGAAGGTGAATGGAAATGTGAACTGTATGTCCTTGTTGGCTTTGCCTTCAGCCCAGTCCAGAGTGAACTTCTGTGTTAAGACTGTTTTCCCAATGCCAGCCACTCCCTTTGTCATCACTGTTCTGATTGGTTCATCTCTTCCAGGTGAGGCTTTAAAGATGTCTTCTTGTCTGATTGTTGTTTCTGGTCTGTCTGGTTTCCTGGATGCTGTTTCAATCTGTCTGACCTCATGTTCATCATTGACCTCTGCAGTCCCTCCCTCTGTGATGTAGAGCTCTGTGTAGATCTGGTTCAGAAGGGTTGGGTTTCCTGCTTTAGCAATCCCCTCAAACACACACTGGAACTTCTTCTTCAGCTTAGATTTAAGTTCACGTCGGCACGCTGGAGCAAAAGTTCCTGAATGAAGAAAGAAGAAATGTAGTTAATAAGTAGAAGCTCCAATAAATCTGATGGATGTAAAGTTTAAGACATCAAGATGGTATGTATTTTCCTCCCCCATTAAATCTCTTCAGCTCATCAGTTGTGAACATTTACTGTTTTCAGTCCAGAAGAATTCATAGATCTGATACAATGTGTGCATCATATTATCAGCAGAGTTTTAAAAGTAAACTTCTCCCATGTTGCCTCCATTTCCTCTTTCCATCATGTTCAATCTACTAAAATCATCTTACTGCTCTGTAGACAGTCAACCAGCTCCTCCTGCTTCATTCTCCTCAGGAAGTGCACTGTGATCTTCAGAAATGCCTCTCTGCTGCTCCTCCTCTGCTCTTCATCCTCACCATCCAACACCTCCTCATCCTCCCTCTGACTCTCTGAGCATTCTGGGTAATCTGGACTCAGAACCTTCTGGATCTTCTTCAGCTCGTTCTTCACAAAAGTGACAATGTTCTCCTCCAGCAGCTGGAACAGAATATTATATGAATGACTCAATCAAAGTCAAATCATGGAAGCAAACATCAGATCCATGTTGGACAGACTGACAATCCACTGGTCTAAAGAGTGCAGCATGGAGATTATTGTGAACACAATAGATGTAAAAGTAGTTGTTGTCCATGTACAGACCATAAATATGGAGTCCAGGTGTGTTTGATGCTGCTGGGCAGACTGACCACTGGGAACCTCTGAGCTCTCCTGGTCCACTCTGTGGAGGAACCATGAAGAATGAGCTCACATTATGTCTGTCCACACAGAGACAAACACAAGGTAAAGGTCCATGAAGTGATATTTGGATGTGAACAGTGAATCTGATGACTCTCTGTAGTGGTAAAGGTTTACGAGTCCTGCTGATCCCACTGAGAATCAACAGCTCAGTTTGGTTCAGTCCCAACAACTCTCACCAACCCCTCCATATAGCTCTCCCTCCCTCACTGTACACTGCTGAAGTGCCCTGGAGCAAGGTACCTAGAACCTCCAGCTGCTCCAGTGGAGCTGGTCAGTGTCTGCTTGTATCAGACTGGTTGTACTGGGCAGCTCCCAGTGTGAATGTGTTTGACTGTGTGAGTGTGAGGCGGCTGCTGCTGAAAGAGTGTTGGTGCTCAGAGAACTTCATCTGAGTCAGTAAAGGTTGAAAAACTGGAGATTTCACAACTGAGAGTCTGATAAAAACACATTTTTATTTTACCATCAGTTTGAAATCCTCACCTTTGATCAACAGAGTGGCGGCCATCTTTGAACTCTATACGACGACCCATAGAACGATCACTCTTCATGGACACACAGCTGGGTTCAGGTTTTTTCCTCCTGATAGAAAAACAGGATCAGTTCTGCACTGCACCCACAACACACTGAGACAGAACCTGCCAGTGACTGAATACACCGACTGTACACAGTGTATTTGTACCCAGGGAGTTCTTGGTTAGGATTTCTATAAAGTCAGTGTTTGATTTAGACATGTTTCACTGTGTATTATAAAGCTGTATTCAGTGCAGTTTGCAGTATAGGCGGGGTAATGATGGAGTGGAGTGACCATATCGGTCCAATTAGGATAAAAAGAGGAACAGACGTGGTGTCAAAGCAGTGAGTTTCTATAAACTGCTGCAACTATTTGTTCACTGTGAAACTGAGGCTGTTGTAAATTGAGCTGATCAGACACAAACCATCACGTTCCATTAAAAGACATTTTAAAACATTTAAAAATAGAGATTTCACAACTGAGAGTGATAAAAACAAATCATTTTATTTTACCATCAGTTTGAAATCCTCACCTTTGATCAACAGAGTGGCGGCCATCTTTGAACTCTATAGGATGATCCATAGATCGGTCACTCTTCATGGACACACAGCTGGGTTCAGGTTTTTTCCTCCTGATAGAAAAACAGGATCAGTTCTGCACTGCACCCATAACACACTGAGACAGAACCAGTGACTGAATACACTGACTGTACACAGTGTATTTGTACCCAGGGAGTTCTTGGTTAGGATTTCTATAAAGTCAGTGTTTGATTTAGACATGTTTCACTGTGTATTTTAAAGCTGTATTCAGTGCAGTGTGCAGTATAGGCGGGGAAATGATGGAGTGGAGTGACCATATCGGTCCAATTAGGATAAAAAGAGGAACAGACGTGGTGTCAAAGCAGTGAGTTTCTATAAACTGCTGCAACTATTTGATAGAAAGAAATTCATTAAAGCTCACATATTCAGAAACATTCTCACTGAATCAAAGACTTTGTGAAATGATGTATAATTTGAAATGTTTGAATACAGAGCTGGACAATAAGAACAATGTCTTCAATTACTGACATTATGGACGTGTTACTGAACACAATTTACTGATGTCACACACTTCAACACACTGTCTGAATTCCATATAATTAAAGTGAGAGCAGCTACAACATCTAACCAGAGAGCAATCAGCTCCCAGTCCAGTCCAGAAGAGCAGAATGTGGAACTGGTCAGACTGGAATGAATCAGGACAAACATCAGCAGTGAGCAACATGAGGAAGGAAATCTGCTCTGATTGATTCAAACACATGTTACTGTTACATTTCTCATTATGAAGCTGAATTTTTCTCCTGATACTGATTTGAGATCAGATTGTCCAGCCCTGTTTGAATACTGACAACTACGTACTTTAGCTCAGATAAATGTCTTTGTTTCAAATGGAGAATCAAAGCCTTTGTGACATGGAGAAGAGTCATGGACAGTTAGAGATCCTCATCTCACCTCTGAGCTTTGGTCCTTGTGTCATGTTCCCCACACAGAGTGCTTTTAGAGGGAGGGACTCCCTCCTCTCTGTCCTCACACTGATCCATAGCAGAGCCCACACCTTCACACAGACACAGCAACATGCTCATTCATTACAGCAAGCTTTACATCACAGAGACACATTAGTTCTCATTGCTCTCAGTAACATGACACAAATATTCAGAGCTGACAGAAATCTTGTTGGAGCTCTGATAACCCCAAAACCTCTTACACAGCCCCCAGATTCACAGATAAAGGATGTTGACCACAAAATATACTTTACACATTTATGGGTCACAAGAGAAAATCAAGGTCTGTGTCTTTCAGTGGCGGTGCCAGGGAGGAGCTAGGTGGTGCTGTAGCTCCCCCTATAATAGCCATAGCACCCGCCCAGTACCCCCAAGAAATGTCTCTGATTTTTTATACTTATAACTTAATGTCATGTTTGAATAGTCTTTTTCGTTTTGTTTAAAAATGTGAATTAAAATAATAATTAAAAATATATATTTTAGTCTAAAAAACCACGAGGTGTAAACATGTGATCTTAATTGGTCAATGGGCGCAGCGCCCGGTGAACCTTTGTCCTTAACGTATGGCAGCTTGTTATTGATAGCGAGTTTGGAAACTTAGCAGAGTAAAATACACCAAAATGGATCATTTTTTGCTGCCTAAACATTCACGTTCTGAGTCACAACCTGAAGGGAAACGAGACTGTGAAGTTCTATGGTAAGTGCATGATTTTCCACTCTGTTGGCTTTTACAAATTTAATTAATTTTATGGTTGAAGCACAAATCTGGACTCTTCATAGTTACATCTATGATGCTCCAACAATAGGAACACTGCTGATTCATCATTATACCAGTGTTGGTAACTGGCTGTGTGATTTCGTGATCTGAGCAGGCCGAAGCGTGCACAGTGTCTGTTGCCTTCTGTTGCTGCTGTTTGCTGCTCCGTTGTATTCAGGGCTCGACTGTGACTGAATTGTGTGAAATATTATTTTCAGAGGTTTACATTGGCAGGCTTATGTATGTTGTATCTATAGCCATTGTGTTGAATACTTTTACATATATATTCTTATTAGTCACGGAACGAGTATAGTTAATGCGCGCGTGTACGTATATATATATATATATATATATATATATATATACCAAGGGTGGTCCGATGCGACCTCCAGAATGAAACGCCCCAAAATTCAAAGCATCTTCTCTTAAGTGTTGAGCATCCCCATAGCATCTGTAACAGAAAATCTCTGAAGCTGCCACTGGTGTCTTTAGATCTTATAATCCTATATTTAATGACAAAAATTGAACAGAGAGACAGAGCAGTTCACATTTTCTATGCTTTGGAGGGCCCTGATAGCTGAGGGGTCCTAAGCAACCTCTTAGTCCCCTTAGACCCTGGGCTGGCTCTGGTCCATCTAGAAAGGACTCTGGGACAGTTGAGACCTGGACTGTGCTAAAGGGTCTTCAGTGAAACCAGCTCAGTGTCAGTGTTGGAAGGTTTCTGTATGTGAGCTCTCAACTCTTCATCCATGCTCTTCCCTTCAGAGTATTAACAGTTAAAAATCAACCTAGGCCAAGGTGCTTCGAGTTGTCAGACCAGTTCAGACACATTGTTTCACTGATGATGTGAGCTCAGGTTATAATCAAACTGCGTCTGATTCTACTTGACAAACAACAACATAACATGTAAATCTTTCTAAAAGCATCTTCCTTTAACTCGGAGAGAAGTTCAAGTACAGAAAGCAAGTTTCAAAGATATATTCTGAAACAGCTCATCAGCATATGGAAACATTTCTACTGTCCAGATAAACAGAGATACAGCACAATGTGATCAAAGTCATCCTGATGATCAAACACTTACACATTTCTCTGGTAGGATTCTCACCTGCTGAACTCACTTCAGGTCGACTTACAGACACTTTCTACCTTCATGTGTGGAGGAAACACTGGGAGAGAAGAAGCTGCTCCTTTCTTCCTCGTCAGTCCTGGTGTCTGTGTGCTTGTCACACCCTCAAAACTTCACGGTCCAAGTCTAACAAACACCAGAGTGACGTCAGAACCAGTTAAACAAGAATCAGACTGCACCCTATCAAAAGCATTTTTATTGCCTTCTTCCTCTCCCTGAGCTGTCTGAGTGTTGGGGATGTGTTTGTATTGTTTCAGATCCATTTGTCATTATAGTTGATGAAGGCTGCAAGAACAAAAGTGCTTTAATCCTCTGAATACGTTGTTGGCATTGAAATAGAGTCGCACCTTTCCTCTATCTACAGTCAGTGTCAGAGAAATCACTGATCAGATATGTAGTTCCATTATCTGTCCATTAGATGGTGCTAATTAATCATACAGTGAGCTAAAGATCAGCTCAGTTCAGAACTATGTGATGCTGAGCATACATTTGTATCACATGTTTTACATTATTACGTATTTATGAAAGGTTCAGTGTGTAGAATTTAGTGGCATCTAATAGTGTTGTTGCAGATTGCACCTCACTAGCTTCCCTCTCTAATTCCAAACACGAGGGAAAAGAACAGTGGCTGCAAAATGCCAATGGCCCCATTGGAATCAAGTTTTGTCCTTTCTGGGCTACCATAGAAACATGGAAGGAGAGCCGCTCCCTCTGTAGATAAGAACTGCTAATTCTAAGGAACCAAAAACAATGTTTAGGTATTTATACACTAATAAAAACATACCTATGAATACTATATTCCATTTCTGACAATAAATCATTTGCAGTGTTACACAGTGGATCTTCACAAATGACAAAATATTCTTATTTATGAATATTCTTCTACAGTGACTTCAAGTCTCAAAATCCGTCTGTGTGACGTCAGAACCAGTTTAACCTGTGGCAGAAACCCAGTCAGTGTCAGAGAAATCACACATCAAATGATGTAGTTCTACTATCTGTCCACTAGATGGTGCTAACTGACCATCTCATTAAATAAAGATCAGCAGAGCATCATCTGCTGCTGGCAATTATTTCTGACTATCAACAGGACTCTACAGGTCAGAGTGAACCAGACATTAGGCTCATTCAAGATGAACTGCAGCTGTAAAGAGGACAAGATGAGGCAACAGCAGCAGGAGGTGGTGACAAAAAGCTGCATTCAAGTCAGGCAGTTTTCAGCATCCTTCAAATAACATAGATAAAGTCAAAATACAGTTTACATCGTGTTAATTCCACCTGTAGTTTTTAGACATTTGCTTAGACATTGTTTCATATTCTCAGTGGCTCTAAAAACTACATCCACCTCATACATGATGTCAGAGTAGTTTAGCATCATTAATGGTAAGGTATATATAATATATATTGTATGTACTGAATAAAGTCTGTTTTTGTTCCACTGTGAACGGTTACAATCCAGATATATGTTAAATATGTATTGGATGAATTCATTTCAATTTCTGTTTATCAGTATGATGTTACATTAATGATTGAAGGGGTTTAATTTAATAACATATTTTAAGGGATATTGAAATGCCAAACCATACTCACCACATATTGTTGGACACACTGACTAAATGCACAACTAAATATATATAATAATATAAAAAATATGAAAAAAGCTGAATGAACTTTGAACGTTTGAATGAACTTTCTACTTTGAAACATTTAGAAGAAGGAGTCAAAATAATCTGGCTCCTCCCATACACTGCTCATAGGCTGACACCTGCTGGTGACTTTATGGAACTGCACAGAGGTGACACGGTCTTCTTTCTAAATTGTAATATTGACTCACAACCCATTAACGCTGCTATGAAAGTTATGTGTCTTGTTGGCAAATATCATATCCATAAGGCTGGAACGCTTCAAACCTAATGTTCATCTGTATTTTGTTGAATTATAATTTGTCTTTGACTTTGATTAACAAACAAGAAAGCCATAAGACCTCTCAAATATTTGGATAATTACTATGTAAAAGTAAACAATAACTTCTATACATACATACTGTATATGTGAGTTTATAATTCGCTCCTACAATGTGATGTCATTCAGAAACTTTTTATTTTATATGTGTAACAGGTGTGTGGATTGGGCATAAACAGAGGACGACTCACAGAACTGTTAACCAGCATTTATTTGCCCTTGCAGAAGACAATATAGCACATTCATTTCCTTCTGCTCTTTTTTCCTGCACCTCTGCTTCCTCAGCAATGCAAAACAACACTGTGCGATTTCATTATCTTTCTGAAAATACATATAGATAAATTAGTTTAAACATTACAGAGTATATGTAACTCAATGTGCATATTACAAAAAAAAAAATAAAAAATACTAAAAGAGCCGCTACGGTTACAAGAAAACGTTTTATTTTAATAACAAATCTGTATAAACTATATAGAATAGGTTTAACAGAGTAAAAAGTGTGTGTGGGGTGGGTGACTAAACAGAAACAACACAAACGAAGGAGCTACGGAAGTTCGGGAGTTACGGAAGGACAAAGTTCAGAAAACTCAATTTCCACTGGAAATAAACCAAAATAACAGAAAATGAAAAATAACTCAATGAGATAAAATTCAGACTCAATGAAAATGAATAAAATTCACAAATACATGTAACACTGTCTAATGTACATATAATAAAATGACTGTCATGTACTCTCACTTTAGGCCTATCAGAAGAAATAGATACGCTCAAGGAGGATTGATGGAACAGGACAACGGTTTGAAAAGAGTTGTAACAAATAGCTTTATTGGCAACAGTGCAAAACATAATATATTTCAGATATGACTGAAATTCCTTTATTGTATCAGAAGTTATCAACAACTCAGAAAATTACACTGAATAACGCTCAGTAGAAAACAAAACTCAATAATAATAATAATAAACAACAAGAAAGAAAATTTAAAAGAGTCCAAAAAAGAAAAAGTCTGAATGAAGTCAATATTCACAGTTTGTCCTTCTTCGGTGTGTTTGTGTAATAGTTCATCTACCCGGGTAGTGTGACTTTATGTTTTATTATCTGTATGAAGAGATGTTCTCTCCAATGCACAGTGAAGCTCTCGCTGACGTCACACCCTCCACGATCCAATGGACTAGGTTCTGGCTCGTCATCAGAATCCACTCATACAATAAAACCAACCTGCATAGAGCAGTAGTAGTAGCATCTCTTCAATAAAATCTTATTTATCTCATTAATCTCTTTTTATCTATTTATCTTAACTGTACAGTATTAACTCTCTTTTTATCTTAAATCAATGAACATGAATTATTCAATGACAAAGTTTCATATACAGCTGCACAATAACTTTAACAGCCAACACACAATTATGTATATGACTTTTAAATGGTTTTAACTCATCACAGCTTAATGTACACAAATTATGAAATTAATGTTTTTACCCAAGAAAATGAAATTAATTATCTTCTGTAAACTCAAGTTCACACAGCTGCGTGTGTTTGAGCTCAACAACCAGCTTTCTTAGCTGTATAACATGTGCTAGTGCAATTAACACAGCTCAACACATGTTTATCTGTCTCCGGTTGGTTTTTAAACACTATCACAGAAGCATAACTATACTACGGAGCCCCTAAAGGGACATGGGAAAAAAAAAAAAGGAAACATATCTAATGCGCACTACTAAAAACCCTCTTCCTTGTACGGAAGTCCTCCAAAATTGTAATTTTAACAACTTTACAGGCAGTTATCAACTTTATCAAACTCGTCTCTCACGTGGTGCTCTGGTCTGCATCAGTGCATAAAAAACGGGAACAGAGAAAGAAACAAGGAAACTAAAGGCTGTTATATACTCGCCATTCCCGACCTGTAGCGCGACAATGTGACGTCAAGGGAGCGCCGTAACTATTTATACTTGCACGTGGTGGCCGCTCTTCTTCTGCCCTCAGCCCTAGCATGGTTCCCAAAAAGACAAAAAAAACTTGCGCGGGGTGGTCGCGACACGAGCTGCAGTCTTCTCCTGAACAGAGGTGTCGCTACCAGGGGTGGACTGGGACAAAAATTCAGCACTGGCATTTTGTGTCCAGACCAGCCCACTACATTATCAGCAGACACTACATAGAAGTCCACAAATCTCGCAGCATCTCCTCTCATGCATACTACAAAGGAGAGTCATATTCCTTGATAGCAGTTAACAAATAAAGCACGTAACTATGAACTCAAGGACTAAAATTGACAGCTATAGCAATCAATCAATCAGTCTTTATTCATTATAGTGTCAAATCACAACAGAAGTTATGTCATGACTAGGGGTGGGACGAGACTAACGGGAAGAACCCTCATGCTACCCTTTCAGTTTTTAGTCTGTGACTGTGAAAATCTTTTGGTGTAAGCCCAGCATTAGTTAAAACCAGACTCGGACAATAATAACAAAATCTCCTGACAAATAATCTAAATAGAAACATATTACAGACAGTAGCAGCATTAGAGCTGAAACTCATTTGTTTTAACGGTGACTCAAAACAAATAATGATCTATAGCTGTGTGAAAAAGTCTAAGACATGAATTACAGGTCTGAATAGATATGCATTCTCATATACGTGTATGTGCACATGTATATATTGCCCTACTTCCTCGTCCGCAGCCAGCCAGCTCCACTCCTCACCAAATTCATGACCTGCAAGAAACAGCAAACAGAACTTGTACTCAGTATCTGTGTACTGACAAGTATGTGTAGCCATGTAGCCTTTTGTAATGTAGTGACACTTAGTGAACAACTTTTTCTGTCATGAAGGATGACTGAAGTCTCAAAAGAGCTCTAAGGCCTACCTGCATAACTGTTAACTGAACTTAAAAGATATGCAGATGTTTGAAAATCTTCAATAATTAATCAAACTTTTTGTTTCAATCTGAGACAAAACAAGTTGCATAATAAACTCACAAAGTCAAGACGAAGCTCTCTCTCTCTCTCTCTCTCTCTCTCTCTCTCCTGTTTGACAGGAGATGATGGTAGCAGAGAATATAAAGAGACATTTATGAATTACCAATTGTCATTTTATCACACATATAGTATGTTTCTTCACATAAACCTTTAAACATACACATATTGCATTCCTCTCACCACATGAAATAAGCTCAGGAACCCAAAAGTGGCCCAGTGAATGATGGAGGAGACAAAGCAGGTCCTCAAAAGGGGACAGAGGGAAAACAACTCCTTAGGCTCTCATATATAGGGTGGTCAACCTAAAAGAGACATGGAAACATTATTAAGTCATCATCACAAATCAAGTATGAATTCATATAACATTATAAGACACATGACATACTCAACCAATCAGAGACGTCTCAGTAGCCAAAAAGTGGTGAAGTGGAGGCAGAGAGAGAGCAAGTCCTCGAACATGGACGGAGGGGGAACAACTCCTCAGGCTCTCACATGTCAAGTGGTCAGCCTGAGAGATTATTGGATACATTATTAATTCTGAAAAATAAAGACAATGTTTTCCTCTGTCCTGCACCTAGAGTTGAAAACTTTTTGGATGTGCGTTTCTTTTAAAACTTTTTAAAATTATTATAATTATGAAGTATGAATAACATTAAAAACTACATGATAAACTTACCAAATTCTAACAGTGGTCCCAAATGAGAGAACAAGTCCACATATAGAACAGAGGGAGAATGACTCCTCAAATATATCAGAACAACCTGTAATGGAGAATAATTGATCATTTAGTGTACATGATCACACCATTAATAACCACAGAATAATGTACAAGATAAAAGATTAGTTCATATTGAACTAAACGTTCACGAGCGTAACAACACTAATGGCTTTGTCATGTTTTCATTATGACACTAGTGTTTTCCAATGCAAGAAAGTCAGATC